ACAGTGAACTAATCTACTAATCCAATTTTGTTTTCAAGTATTGTGACTGACCATATAGCAACAATGAGAAATTCAACATCTGTACAACGTAAGCTGGGTTCATATATTATCGTTTGCTTAAATATTTAGAACAATTCAAATGTTGTATAACAATTAATGTTGTGTTTTACAGTGTTTAATTTACACATTTATCAATCTGGTACTTATCACGAACAACATAAAGTGATTTTGAGGTGAAAACATTTAATAGCAGTAAACAGTGCGAACTCTTTGAAGCTAAATTACTGAAATTAATTAACTTACCACTTGTTAACACGATTTTCAGTTTCGGAAAAGCGGAAAATGAAAAAGTTCCCCTAGATATTTAGTAATAACGTAATGATGAGCAATAACTCAACAATAATGCACATCGATCCGAGTCCCCTCTAGTCATTAGGGATTAAATGAAAGAGCGGTGGTACACTCGAATTCCGCTTACGCAACCACGAAATTCGTCCAGTGTACATCCATTATTTACCATGAGTTACATGAAAGCAGTAACCGATTATTTACTCGTCGAGAATAGGGGAATTATGAATTACCTACAACAACAGTGGCAATGCCTAACTCGGCTTTATTTATTCCGCTTCACGTTCCCCAGAGATCCATGAAAACATTTCGAAATCAATTTTATCAATTTAAGATTGAATCAATAAAACTTCGCCGCTTATAAACCGCCTTTTTGATTAAAATCAACAATAAATCTCTGTAATTGTTGTCCGATTTTTTTTGGCAAATCCAACCCTTTGTATTAAATAAATTCATACGGCTTCACCCTGAATAGAAAATTAAATTTTCCCTCCAGAAAAAAGTTGGCGGCGAATAAAGTCAAGTGTACAATAAATAAGATTTTATTAGGAAAGGATGGATGAAGGAGAATAGGGTCGCAGACATGGAAATGGAAAATTTCTTGAGACACTTTTTCGCTGGCTAGCAATTTTAAATTTTGGATTAAAAAGTGTACGATTAGTGTCAAGTACAAAGTGCGTGCGCGGTTATTTGGAGGGGTTTACGACACGTTTATATAAGATCTTGAAAATTGTTGGAAAATTGAATGCAAACACTGTCACACCAAAGCCAAGACGCCATCATATTTTCTCGGCAACAAAATCGATTGAATAAAATCTGTTTGTGTTCCACTTGCCACAATAAAGTTATAGAGCTATAGGGGTTATAAAGTTTACACGACATTGTAACAATATTGCTGTCATGTTCGGAGTTTATTTTTATGTTTACCTATTTTTTTTTTGCTCAATTGCCGCCTTTCGAATTTTCAGTATTTGTGCAAGTAAGTGGCTTGTGTTAAAATGGAAAATACTTTACTTCACGAATTGTGACTTAAATTTTGTTTTTATTTGTAGTTTATTATTCTTGTTTTTTGAAATTCTATGATAATGATGAATTTTCTCATATTACAATAATTGTATATCACACCTCACACGAGAAAATATCTGTAACAGGAGTTCCCCCAGTTTCAGAAGTAATAAAAGAGTTTCAGAGATAATTATTTACATTGAAAAAGTTTAAATTGTTTGATAATAATAATAACCAAACGGCAAAAACAAATATGTTACTTATTAGAACAGTAATCAAATCCATCGGGCGACTTTCATGTTTTCTCGACATTTCGTGATCCCTAGAGTACGAAAAAAGTGGCGTCCTGTTTCTGTCTATTGTCTGTCTGTCTGTCTGCCTGTCTGGCGTCTGAGTCGATTTTTATTAGACACGAAATCTCCGAATCTACTGGACCAATTTTATCCAAAATTTAGTTATACATTGAGATACTGTGATGTATGAATCCGTGTTGAGTTTTCACCCTAGACATACAAATTTTTTGAAAAAAATAACAAAAATCGTATAACAACATTTTCTAATTTAACTTTGAAACTGCAAAAGCGAATGTGTGAAATCTTGCAGACGTTTCAAGGTTATCGTAATCAAAATTTATTCGTTTATTCCCTTAAAAAAAATCGATTTTTAAAATTTTTTGATTTTTCAATATTTCGTTGCTTTAATTTTTGAAGTTCTTGATTTTTATTTTTCATTTTCCCGATTTTTAATTTTAATATTCTCGATTTTATATTACAATTTTTCGTCTTTACATATCCTCTTTCGACTACAATTTTTGATTTATTCAATTTTTCAAATTTTCAATCTTTGATTTTCCAGTTCCTCGATTTTCCAATTTTAAAGTTTTTCCATTTTACGATTTTTTGCGATCTTTAATTTAGTTATTATTATTATTATTATTTTTTGCTTGAACCTCTGTAAAATGTTTTTATTGTCCATCCTGTCTAAGTTTTCATTTTATACGTTTTCATCTTTCATTTTTAATTTTTCGGTTTCACAATTTTGCATTTTTTCCATTTAAGTTGAAAAATTAAAGCTGAAAAATCGAAAAACTGAAAAAAAAATTGTAAAATCGAAAAACCGTAAGATTAAGATATCGAAAAATTGAAAAATTAAATATCGACAAATTGAAAAATTAAAAATCGAAAAATGCAATAAATGAAAAAGTTTTAAAACCCAAAATCGTAAAATTGAAAACGTGAAAAAAAATTTAAATGAGAGTTATTATATGATTAAAATGAAAAATAGAAAAAAATGTAAATAACAGATTGAAGAAACGAAAAACCGAAAAAAATGAAAACCTAAAAAGTCTAAAAATGAAAAAACAAAAACTTAAAAAATCTAAAAGTTGAAAAATCGAAAAATTGAAAAACGAGGAAGTGGGAAAATTAAAATTGAAAAAACAAAAAATTATAAAATCGAAACATTAAAAATTCGAAAAATCGTAAAAATAATGACAATAAAGTACCGAAAGGCAGAATTGAAGAATCGAAAAAATGAAAAATTAAAAATCGAAAATTGTAAAGTCGAATAAATGAAAAAGTTTGAAAATCCAGTAACTGTAAAATGAAAATATTCCAAAGTCGTAAAACTGAAAAAGTGAAAAGTTTTAAAAATTATTACCATTTATTTAAAAGAAACTAGAAAAATTGCAAATCAAAAATTAAAAAACGAAAAACTGAAAAATTATGAAACTGAAATATCTAAAATTGAAACAAACATTAAATAGTAAAAAATCGTGAAAGTGGAAACCGAAAAATTGAAGAAATGAAAAATTAAGGAATCGAAAAATTGCAAAATTAAAATATCCAAAAGTTGGAAAATCGACAAAGTGAAAAATTTAAAAATGAAAACTCAGAGTTGCATGTTATAGAATTGAGAGAAACAAAACAATATATATGAAAAATTGAAAAATTGAAAAACGAATTATTCAAAAAATTTAAATAGAAAAAACAAAAAATTATAACATTGAAAAATTGAAAAATTGTAAAAATAATGAAAATGAAGTACCGAAACGAAAAATTGCATATCGAAAATTCGAAGAAAAAGAAAATTGAAGAATTGAAAGAAAAATTGAAAAATTAAAATTCGAAAAATTGAAAAATTAAAATTCGAAAAGTTGAAAAGTTGAATAAATGAAAAGTTTTAAAAATAGTTATCATTATTACATATTTAAAATGAAAACTAGAAAAATTGTAATTCAAAAATTAGAAAAACGAAAAATTGAAAACTCAGGAAACTGAAATATCTAAAATTGAAGAAAATCAAAAACTGAAAAATTTTTCATTGAAAAAACTATAAAATGAGAACATTGAAATGAAAAATTAAAGAATCGAAAAATTGAAGAAATGAAAAACTAAAAAAAAATTAAACTGAGCAAACAAAAAATTATAAGATCGTACATTGAAAAATCGAATAGTTGAAAAAAAAAGAAAATAAAAACCGAAACAAAAAATTTTTAATCGAAAAACTGAAACATTAAAAACTGAAAGCTCCAGAAACTCAAATCGAAACATTGCAAATAGAAAAACTGACGAAACAAAAAATGTATATTAATGAAGAATTGAAATAAAAAAAGCTGCGGGAGTGAGTGATATTTAAGCCACTGGTTTTTACTTTATAGAGTTTATCAGAAAACAAATATCCCTAGTGGTAAGGGAAGTTCTGGCGATATTTCGACCAATTTTTTTTATCACAGACTTGCAAAATACTTTCAAAATTTTTAGCAAGCAGATATTTCATTACTCGTTTTACAAAAGTTCAGAAAAAAATCTTTTTGATAAATAAATACGAAGAAGTAAATGCCACTCAACGAAACAAACGAAAATATGTGAGGAGTCACATCATTACGGTGTCTACAAAGCCACCAGATGTTTTAGTGACCCGTATAATCCGCTTATTTTCAACATAAAGTCCAGGGTCTGCTTGCCCTCAGTTTTCTTTTAAGAAACAGAAATTTCCAAAATTGTATTAAATACGTAATTATATTTACTGCGGCTGCGGACTAAATTTGCATCCAAACTCTTGTTATCCGTCAAAGTACATCGCACGAAACTAAAAAAGAGCCACACTAAAAATTATCCACCCGGGTCAAAGATGGCAGGAGCAAAATGATGAATTTTATTCGAATTCGAAGTTTTGAAAAATTTAGGTGAATTACTACATAAATATACGGTTGCCAATGAAATCATCTGACAGGAATTTATATACATATTACATACTTAATTTTTCAACAGATATGCAAAAAAAGGGAGATCTACATTTACGTATTCTATATATTGTAAAACGCCACGGAAACATCAAAGTGAGCGTTTTAACCAATATTTTCCTCAGTAAAAAGTGGCCTTTCGGTTGCAAAAGTTGTCACTTTTAATAATACAAAAAACCTTTTTTAAATTGAATTTTAAAAGTTCCAACAGAACTACAAAAACTTGTTATTTTTTATTCAGCACACAGTTATGATCTACGGGCACCGTATTTCATTTTACGCTACAGGTAGTTCACATAACATGAATCAATCGAGAGCGGCATTTTCTCTTCGATTGATTTTGCCCCATAAACCCATATCGGTGTCTATATTCCCTTGTATTATTTATTTTTCTCGTGAACAGAAATGGAAATCCGGTCGCCGCGGTTCACGGGATCAAGTTGGCTGGCATTTCCGGCCCTTCGTGGCGCCTACAAGCACGTCCAAGTTAGCCTGGAGCTGCGTCCGGAGGCCTACGACGGAATTTTCTTTTTGACGGGAGAAAGGGACGACATGGCCGGCGATTTTATGGCCCTCTTACTGCATCAAGGATTTGTGGAGTTTAGGTAAGTCTGCTGTCAGTGTTGCTCGCAGATAGGTAATTTATCTTGGCAGTATTTATGATGACAGGATCATTGTGAGAAATGAAACACACAGGTGGATGTTTTCACGAAACGTGCATTCTAACGTATGTGGAAAAACACAGGAATAAAAAAGTGTCACAGGGGAAATATCAAAAGTGATATCAATCCTGCAAGGTGTATTAGAAATTTAACACACGAGGGAAAACTTTTGTCCGAAGTATTTAGGTTTGATAATGTTGAAGAAGACTTGTAAATACTGTGTTTTCAATAACAAAGGAGGGTACTACATGTAACATTTAAAAAGGGTTTCCGGGTGTCGTGGAGGTTGTAGTGGTGAATTTAATAATGTTACGAAAACTTCTGCTTGAAATGCTTTGAGAAAAAAAAAAAACAGTTTTCTTATAGCCGTGTGAAATATTTTGTATAAATGGAATTTATTCAGAAATATTTGTTCTGAAGTTTTTAAAAAGAAACATTCTTCTCGTTCAGTTTGAAAATATATTGATTAGACTTTTTTAATAATGCAATTTAAGTAGCCAAAGAAACGCTCAGGAAAAATGGTGGGCGTCCCAAACTTTCAGTGAACCTTACATAAACGCAATATGTGGATATTTTTTCATCATGTAAACTGTAAAAGTTATAAAAAATTTGTACCGAATACTTGTGCGTAAAACGAGAATGCAATAAAGTGCTCGTGTGCAAAAAATTCAGAAGTAAAATATGTTCTTACGAAAACGGACAGAAATAAAATATATGACTTTCCGTAGCATGAGCAGCTGCTTGTTCTGTCCGAAGATCAACGTCAGTTAAATTCATGTTTTTTCACTGGGTTTCTTAACGTAAATTGGAAGTGATGTTTAATTAAAGTTTGAATAAGTTTAAAGTTTAAATCTGGTTTAATTTTAACTTGATATTCAATAAATTAAAAAAAAAATTGGTCGAAGGTTATTTCGACAAGACTCCCTCGCCCCTGAAATGTAGCCCAACAAATCCCACTTCTTTGAAAAATTATAAATATTTTTGCAATTTTTGTTTCTGATAACCTCTGTATTAATTTTACAGAGGTTATCAGAAACCAGTAGCGGAAACAACACTTCTGTAGTTTTTTGGCTAGAATTTTTCAATTCTTCCATTTTTCATTTTTTCTGTTTTATCATTTTTTCAATATGCATTTTTCGAGTTTTCAATTTTTCATTTTTTCTGTTTTTTTCAATTTTAACTTCCCGAGCATGAGCAAAGGAAGTATGTAATGTAATCGAGTCCGTCGGCCGACTCTCTATTTTTGCATTTTCTCGACCTATCATGTCCTCTAGAGGACGAAGAAATAGGTCTCCCGTTTCTGTCTGTCTGTCCGTCTGTCTGCCGTCCCGAATTTTTATTATACAGATAATTTTCGAAAGTACTGGGCCGATTGTTGTCAAATTTTGTATTTATATTAGGTATATCATGTAGATGGTAAAACGCTAACCAAAATTTGCCTAATCATCCCACCAATAATGTGATGACGTCACGGCAAAATTGTAGATAGTAATTGGGTTCTAAATTGTACCAAATAACATCTTACACATGTACTTTTTGAATACAAATTGAGATTTTACCCGAAACGTCCAGATTTTTGAAAAAAAAAAAAAACAAAATTAGAAAACAACATTTTGACATTTAATTTGGAATCTACAAAACCAAATGCTTTGAAATCTTGCAGATATTTTAAGGTTAGAAAGAGCATAATAAATTTTTAGTCAAAATATATGTCGGCGACGGTGATCATTGTGGCTGTGGCGTAGGCAACCAAACATACAAGCAAGACGTTAGACGTCATAGGTGGCGCCACAAAGTGTTGTGTGATTCCCAGAACCATAAACAATATTGAAGGTCGACGGACATATAGCCATATATGGTAATGAGCAGGAACACGAGGGGGAAAGGGTTTCTCCCACGCGCGGAACGGCGGGACAAGGGGGCAGTGAGAAAGAGAGGCCCGGTCACGTCGGATCGCGAAGTTCCACAAAGTGCTTGTAGTACGACCCTGAGCGCCCAAAAAATTCGTTTTTTTTTAATAAAGGCTCCGACATCAGAAGTGGGATTAAAGTGCTACAAGTGCGTGCCAGAATGCCTCCCAAAAGATTTCAAAATCAACCCCCGGTTGTGACCACGACGCCGAGTGTTTCCTCACCGCAGACAGTAGTGACACGGTCTGGCGAGGTCAAACTTCCACCATGTGATCCAACCTCTCGGTTTGCCGATCCCGAGGGATGAACCGCTATCGTGGATTTATGTGTGGCGAAACATCAGCCCGACCAGCTGGCTTTGGTTATGGGCCTTTCGAATACTTTACAAGGCGAAGCAGCCAGTGGGCTCATTTCGGCAAAGCCCACCGAAAAGAACTGGGAGGCGTTGAAAGCGGAATTTCTCTCCATTTTCTGCAAACCAGTCGATCTGTTGCAACAATTTTCGGAAGCTGTCACCGGACGACGTGACATGAAACAAGACTCGCCGTTGATCGAGGAAATGCTGCACTCCATGCGGGTTACATTAAACCTTTTGCAAAACCGGGAGAGTGATGAAGCGTTCGCAGTTCTCGTTGCATGCTACTTTGGCTCCCGACGGGATGAGTTTGTGGGTAGTGCCTACCAGAAAGAGCATCCAACAGACGCAAAATCTATGTGCGCGATGCTGCAGGGTAGATGAGATCAGCGCCAGATGCTATTTCCTTCCGGTCAACACACCGGTTCGAAGCACCGCGCCTCATCTCCGCTTGCACCACATAAGCCTGAAAAGTTTGTCCGTTTTACCGGAAATTGCCACAAATGCGGAAAGGAGCACTGCAAGTACGAGTACACATTACCAGTCCAAGATTGTCACCTGTTTTACTTGCGGAAAAAGAGGGACACATATCAACAAAATGTCCAAAGAGCAAAAGGGAAGTTCCTGAAAAGCGGGTCAATCTCTGCACGATGGCGCAGACGGGACAGCTGAAACTTGGAAGCGGTGAGACCTTTCCTTTTCTGTTTGATACGGGTTCCGATTGTTCTTTAATTACAAGGAGTGTAGCCGACCGCTTCTGCGGTAAAAGAATTTGTAAGATTACCAACTTAAAGGGCATAGGCAGCGGCTCTTTCGTTTATTCTGAACAAATTTTGACAAGAATCGAAATTCAAGGTCTTTTTGTTGACATATTATTTTTTGTCGTACCAGATGATTTCATCTCCGCCCAAGTTATATTAGGAAATGATTTGGTCGAACAAAGGATTAGTGTTAATTATAGCTCAACTGGTTTATTTTTATCCCGCGAGTTACAAGTTCAAAGTTGTCAAAAAGCAGTGATTACTTCGGACCACATTCGGACTGATGCGACCGGTACTGATAAAGACAAGTTAATAAGCCTGTTGAACAAGTACTAGAATAATTTTATCGATGGAGCCCCTTCAAGCCGAGTAACAACAGGTAATTTAGTAATACGTGTAAGCGGAATTTTTAGTGCAGGTCTTTAAGGCGACAAACCAATCAGTTTTAATAATTAACCCCCACTGAAGACACATCTCAGATGCAGAGGGTGCATTTTGAGGGCAGTTAGTCCGAGTTAGTCAGAGTCCGTGAAAGTGTGTAAAATAGCGGTGGGCGTGAAGGCCCAGCTGTGTGGTGACAGGGCCGGACTCGGGTTGAGTGTTAAGCCCAAAGAGTTGGGTGTTAAGGTGTTGATAAGAGAAGGTGGCAGGTTACGGTGAACCTGGGGCCACGAGAGTAATGTGAACGCGTAAAAGCTCCGGCAGATACCATGGTATGTACCTGAGCACTGAGGGCGTACTCAGGTGGGGCGCCTTTGGCTCATGACACGGCAGGTTGGCGAAAGCCGTGAAAGGGGTGTCCTGGCTGTTGACCGACCGGTGGTGGCGGTGGTGGCAACCGAATGCAACAGAGAATACGTTTGCTGGTTAGGTTGGGAGATTAGCCCGGTTTCTGGAGGAAACCTAGTGACGTATGGACGTGGAGGTGTCCTCTCCACTTTGGCCGAGACAGCGCTCCTTCTGAGGGGGGCTGTGGGCGGGCAGTACATCCCAAACTGTACGGCTAGGGCGATTACAGGTAACTCGACAACATCACCAGAAGATTGCGCGCTGAAGACGACGCCGTGAGTTGGAACCGCTGATCGACAAGGAGTGGGCTAGGGGGTGGAGACCCCCCGGTGAGTGGCCCCATTCTTGGTCATTGGCGACGGATAAGTCAGGTGTGTCTGTTTTCATAGTCATGATTGGGGCCGAATTGTCGCGAGGCCGGACCTGTACTAGAGCGTCACATGTAGGGGTGAGTGAATCTGTAGTTTGCAATTGGCTGTAGCCGTTTGACCGTCATTGATAATGAATATTTGTTGATAGTTTGCGCTAAAGCCGCTATCTGGCCAAAATTCGTCTTACATACGTCTAAAGGATCCTAACAAGGTAGTACAAAGGAGACCATATCGGTTGGCCCCAGTAGAGCGTGAAATCGTAAGAGACAAAGCTCTTGGTGAGGTACGAAATCAATTTGCTGTTGCGTATATCGACGACGTGTTAATACCCAGTGTAATAAAATTTATCACACTCAGGCACTTAACCTACATCGGGACTGGCTCGCGGCGGCACAACAACGCGATGACGAATTAACTAAACTTACAACCGCATTAAAATCTGATCAACTTAACCCTGATCTTGCCAAAACCTATGACGTACGTAATAATGTGCTGTACCGTAAAATTCAACGCAACCGTTCTTGTCATTATTTGCCGATTGTTCCGCATTCCATGATTTGGTCTGTTATTAATCATGTGCACACAAATCTAAAACATTTAGGCTGGAAAAAAAAACTCTTGACAAAATTTATGAGCTGTACTGGTTTCCCAAAATGTCGCGAACAGTGAGAAAATTTGTTGACAATTGTTTAATGTGTAAAGTATCCAAGAACAAAACTGGAAAAACACAGGTTCAGATGCATCCAATTCCAAAGATTTCTCAACCATGGCATACCGTGCACATTGATATCTCGGGAAAACTCACTGGACAGAGCGATAAAAAGGAGTATGTGTTTGTTATTATCGATGCCTTTTCTAAATTTGTTTTATTACAAAAGATTCATTCTTGAGCAGCAGACGTGGCCGTCCAGTGTTTAAAAGAGTTTACTTACATTTTTGGTGCCCCGTTTAGAATCATAACTGATCAGGGCAAATGTTTCACGAGTAGTGAGTTCCGTACTTTTTGTCATACCTTCAACATTGAGTTACATTTCATTGCCCACGGTTCTAGCCGTGCAAATGGTCAAGTCGAGAGGGTCATGCAGACGCTGAAAAATGTTTTGACTACTGTAGAAACCGCGAGTGAGCAAAATTGGCAAGATAGTTTGGGTGAGGTCCAGTTATCTCTAAACAGTACTGTTACTGGGTACAGTCCAGCTGAGCTTTTGTTTGGACCTACTATTCGCTCGCTAGAAATTCAGAAAAGTTGTTATGATCCGGTAAAAGCTGCCGAAGCAACCACTGCGTTAGCAAAAATTCGCGAAATTGCTAGTGCTAATATGGTCAAGGCAGCTGCAAACGATTTGAAACGTAAAAATGCTGGAAAAGCCGCTATTCAGCCATTTTCGTTGGGCGAATTTGTTGATAGCAAACAGAACGAAAGAATGATTTCAAAACTTGACCCAAAATTTAGGGGACCTTTTAAAATAATCAAAGTTTTGGACAATGACCGGTATGAGGTAGTTAGACTCACGGAAAAAGGTAAGGGTCGCGCTTTTGAGTTTGCTCACGATCAGCTGACCAGAGTTCCCGATGGACAGGGACATGTCTCTCCGTTAATTGATAGCGATGAAGAGCCTCTGTCAACGCTAATTAATAAAGGTAGGCTTGTGGAATGATTTGAGTGGCTAGGTCCTCTTGCAGTAGCGTTGTGATAACGAATGTCGATTGTCGATCCTGGCCGAGGGTTGGTCAGATGTTGAAGGTCGCTCCAACTGATGAGTTGCCCGAGTTGGCTAGTAGAGTGTCGATCCCGACCAAAGAGTTGAGGTAAAAGGGGGTCGGATGAGCTTATCTGTGTCGAACCAGTTGGGAGGTCCTCGTTCTAGTGTAGTCAAGTACTTATTGAGTGTTGAGGTTGAGCCCGATGTGTCAATCGGATGGCAGTACTTGGTCGAGCCTGAGTCAAAACTCAGAGGCAGGCAAGAGAGTCGTTGCAAAGTCGATCCTGGTTTCAGGCCAGATGATATAAGTCTAGCGCAGTGTCTTCAAGCGGACTAGTTTATTACAGACTAGGCAAAGGAAGTAGAGAAGGGTGCACAGGGGCGTGCACACGTCAGGATGGCCGTGTCGGCGACGGTGATCATTGTGGCTGTGGCGTAGGCAACCAAACATACAAGCAAGACGTTAGACGTCATAGGTGGCGCCACAAAGTGTTGTGTGATTCCCAGAACCATAAACAATATTGAAGGTCGACGGACATATAGCCATATATGGTAATGAGCAGGAACACGAGGGGGAAAGGGTTTCTCCCACGCGCGGAACGGCGGGACAAGGGGGCAGTGAGAAAGAGAGGCCCGGTCACGTCGGATCGCGAAGTTCCACAAAGTGCTCGTAGTACGACCCTGAGCGCCCAAAAAATTCGTTTTTTTTTAATAAAGGCTCCGACATATATTTGGTTATCCCTTCCAAAATATGATGAGTCTGTACTTGTAATTTATCATTCCATTCATATTTTTTGGATTTGCATATACAGGGTGACTCAAAAAAAATTATCATTGTATTTCAGGAGCGAGGAATATTCTATCGAAACAACTTTAAACCAGTTTTTTAATTTTACAATATGTAACTCTTCGAGTTTTCATTTTTTTGATTTTCCGACTCTTGGATGTTTCAATTTATAAATTTTGCAATTTTTTGGGTTTTCAATTTTTAATTTTTCAATTTTTTTGTTTTTAAACTTTTACATTTTTTAATTTTTCCTTTTTCAATTTCTGATTTGCAGTTTTTCTAATTTTCATTTTAAGTACATAATATAAAAAAAACCCATTTTCGCTTTGAGAATTTTTTCATTTTTCAATTACTGGATTTAAAACTGTAACATTTATTCGATTTTTCAATGTTTCGATTTTAAGTTTTGAATTTCTAAATATTTAATTTTCAAATTTTCGATTTTGCAATGTCACAGTTTTCCGACAATTTTGACGATTCCATAATTTGTCGATTTCACAGTTTTTGGGTTTACCAATTTTTCGATTCGACTAGCTTTTTCTTTTGCCCAATTTTCCGATTCGTTAATTTTTTTCGGTTTTTAAGTATCTCGATTTTTAGTTTTTCATTGTTTCAATTGTTCGTTTCTTCAGTTCTTCGAATTGCAGTTTTTCGATTTTCCACTTTTTCTGTTCTGCAATTTCTAGTTTCTCAGTTTTTCGATTTTTCAATTTTTCCAATAAAAAAAAATCCAAAAACTGCAAAATTGTAAAAATGAAAAAACGAAAAGGCACCTATAAAGTGAAAGATTTGAAAAATCAAGAACCTGAAACATTGAAGAAACAAAAAATTGTAAATTCGACCAAACTTGAAAGATTTAAAAATGGAAAAAGTGCAAATTCAAAAAAAACGAAATATTGTAAAATCAAAGTATTGAAAATTAAAGAACTTTGAAAATCGGATACCTAATTGAGAAATCTAAAAATTGCAAAATCGAGGAATTAAAAATCAAAGATTGAAACTTTGAAAAATTGAATAAACGGAAAATTATAAAATTAAAAGAAACACTAAA